TGGTACTGACTGATGGATTTTGGACACGTAGAACAAACATCACATCCAATATAGTAAATTTATTCTCATTTATTACAGGAGGCTTTTCTTTTATATACAGAGACATTTATTTGCAAAATACTAAAAAGTATTTCAACTGAAAGTACTAAAAAGTATCTGTATATAATGATATCTCTATAAGTCCATGTTCTAATAGTGGTTATTGTGTCTAGATCAGCAGGGTGGGGCACTGAGGCGCCTCTTTTACACCCGGCTTTCACCGGCTGTCGGCGCAGGAAAAGCTTCAGGCTCGTTTTCACTCTGAGGCGGAAAAAAACGGCTTCTTTATTCCAATTTTCCTCTAGAGTGACACGGTTTATACTTCATAGCTTCTATTTTCAGCATCTACAGGACTGAACTAGATGTTTTTGGAAACCTCTGATCTTCTACGCACTAATTCCTATTTTAGGTTTTCTTTGCTTCGTTTATAATCGTCATTTTAGCGCCGATAGAATCAGAGATGCGGGGAATGTCCTAAACAAAAGATTTTTTTGTTATCAGGATGGAGAAACCTCCAACCTGTTGTCCACCGACCCGCCTGAAGGCAGCAGCTCTACAGAGATATTAGGTTTCTGCAGGACTGATGTGAAAATGGAGTGAAAACGGGTCGACAGCCGCTGGGAAACCAGATGTGGTGGAAAACAGAGCAGTGAGATGCTTGGAAACATCCACCAAACCTTCCAAGCATCCTGGTTATTACTGTCCTCCTCTGTGTAGAAGATGGAGCATCACTCACTGCCTGGAACACAAAGCTTTTATTGCATCTTTGACCCAATTAAGAGTAAGAATGGAGAAGAAATGAGGTTTTCTGTGCATTTCCTCCATGTCTGGATGTTTTGTGGTGAAGAAGCAGCAGGTTCTCAGTCTCAGAAGCCCTCAGATCCAAACATGGACGGTTCTGAACCCACCGTCTGCGCCACATGCCCCCCCCTCCCACAGCTCTAAGGGTTCCTTTCCTGATCCTTCCTACTGGGAACCGGACTGGGAACGTTCAGCCGGGGTTTTGTGCTCTGGCCGAACCTGAAGGTCCAGATCCACTGAAATTAGATCATCTTTGCATTTTGCTGTCAAGTGAGTCGGATAAGGCACTCAACAACAGATGTCTTTCTTTAAGATAGATGCAGAACACACAGGTGAAAATATAGATCTAAAGAAGCTAGATAGTGCTTCTGCTGCAGCCAAACATCAGTACAGCTTCAGGTTTATTGGGATCTTTCAGGTTTCCATTTGATTTTTTAATGGATCTATTATTGTCTATTGTTTCCCTCCCCAGTAGAAAGTACTCCTGGTCTCAAGCTTCATCCACTGATTGAGCTTCAGCTCCATTCACAGCTGGGATGGTCTCCATGGTAACACGCCACTGCTCTGTGATTCTCTATAGAAAGTAGCCCTGGTCCACCACAGGTGGATCTGCACCTTTATCCCATTAACAGATATATAAATTAGCTCTTTTATTTAACTTCAGTGTTTTAAATACCAAAATACAGCCCAGTGGTAAATTATGAATAATTGTAGATGGATAAAAATAACATTAAGATAAAAAAGAAAATCTGATTATATATAAAGCAACGTGTTTATTGTTAATATGAAAGGGTCACACTTTTATTTATATATAAGTGTTTCATAGCATCGCGGTGACATCACACATCCCAGCGCTAGCATAGTGACGATCTCTACATCGTTAGGAGGGCTAAACATTAGCTTAGCAACCACAGAGTAGATTTTACTAACAGTTTGAGTCATAATGATTTATAAAAACCATGAAAACCTTCTACTGAAACATACTTTAAGGGCAGATATGAGGAAAACTAGATCTAATCCGGCGAGAAACAATGTCAGGGTGGGGAGAGGCTAGCGGGGGAGGATGGAAGGAGCGCTGAAGGCACAGGAAAGGCTACTGGTGGCCAGGAGGAGGACAGCAGGGGGCGCCTATGGCTGATAGAGGCTAGCTATGGAGGCTAACCGCTGGAGATGGAAGGAGGACGGCGGATGACGGCAGAGCAGCGGAGAGAAGGCTGAGCTGGATGTAGGACCACAGTCAGTCCCTCTAGAGCCGAGGTTCCAGAAAAGGCTGCAGGTTTTCACCGATCCTTTTAGAGCTAGAACCCAAGCCCATCTTTTTGCTCCTTTTCTGTGCAGAAGGATGTATTTTACAGTAGGCCTATTTGAGATACTTTGAGATTTCTTTGAAATGTAAGGTGCGTTACAAATAAAATCTATTATTATTATTATTTATTTACAGTCACAACTAGTAGTTACTAGGCAGATGTTTACCCCTCCTGTAATGGCGGTGCGCGATTGTCAGGGACGATAGTTTAGATCCCTTAAATTTCCCCCAGTTATGGAAAAGTGTCCTCTGCATGTGAACCACCCCTTGGGGAGCCAGGGGCCGCCTCAGCAGCTACACCTAACCCCACCCCACCCTGGGAGGATGAAGAGATTCGCTCAAGGACCCATAGTGACCGTCTGCAATCGTGGCTGTCTCTCCAGGACACAAATACCTGGTGGGGGAGAGAGTGGGTACCCATCTCCAGAGGTCATAGGGCAAGAGATGCCCCTCCCTCAGGGGATGACAGAGGTGAACACAGCGCTAAGTAGCAGATCTGGAACCATTTTCTACTGGACTACGAGGGGCGTTCAATAAACGATGCCCCTGAGCCACTTCTAATTGTTCGATTTAGCTGAAAGTTTGCATGTGCGATTATTTTTATCTCTATAGATTAAGTGGCAAATTACAGCCCTGAACTAATTGAGGTTTCTGATTAATATGTGTTAGAACTGAGTCGAGTCTGAGATGGAGCCTGTTGAATGTCGAGCGGTGATCCAGTTTTTGTATTTAAAAGGACGAACACCAAATAACTTACAGTAGCAGCCATTAAAAATGGCCCCTTCCAGTCAAAAGCCAGCAGAATGGCAGCAAAATCCCCTCCAACTTCTCCTGGGTGTCGACTCCACCCTTTCACTGAATTACAGGGTCTGACCAGGAGATGGCGCTTCTCTTTAGATCTTAATGTCCACAAATCATGACAGAAAGAATATTTTAGATGTTTAAAAAGGAATTGTAGAGGACCAGTCAAAGACTAGCCGAGGACCGGCCAAAGACCAGCCAAGGACCGGTCAAAGACCAGCCAAGGACCAGTCAAAGACTGGTCAAAGACCAGCCAAGGACTGGTCAAAGACCAGCCAAGGACCAGTCAAAGACTGGTCAAAGACCAGCCAAGGACTGGTCAAAGACCAGCCAAGGACCAGTCAAAGACTAGCCGAGGACCAGCCAAGGACCAGCCGAGGACCAGCCAAAGACTGGTCAAAGACCAGCCAAGGACCAGCCAAGGACCAGCCAAAGACCAGCCAAGGACCGGTCAAAGACCAGCCAAGGACCAGCCGAGGACCAGCCAAAGACTGGTCAAAGACCAGCCAAGGACCAGCCGAGGACCAGTCAAAGACTAGCCGAGGACCAGCCAAGGACCAGCCGAGGACCAGCCAAAGACCGGTCAAAGACCAGCCAAGGACCAGCCGAGGACCGGTCAAAGACCAGCCAAGGACCAGCCGAGGACCAGTCAAAGACTAGCCGAGGACCAGCCAAAGACCGCCCAAAGACCAGCCAAAGACCAGCCAAGGACAAGCTGAGGACCAGCCGAGGACTAGCCAAGGGCCAGCCAAGGACCAGCCAAGGACTAGCCAAGGGCCAGCCAAGGACCAGCCGAGGACTAGCCAAGGGCCAGCCAAGGACCAGCCAAAGACCAGCCAAGGAATGGCTACTACTGTACCTTCGTATCAGTGAACGACTGAGTACCAAACAGATCCTTCAAGGAAAGTGGGGAAGTTTTCAATGGCTACTACTGTACATGCAAAGTCTATGGGGGACACATCGGATCAGGCATTGGAGCGTCTGACCAGCTATCTGCTGCAAGCTGTCATCGCTTCTGCATATGAACAATAAATAAATATCAAGGAGTTAAACTCCAAGGGTTCAAATCAAGCAGGTAGAATGGATTGTTATGTAGAAGGAACAGAGAGCAGCTCTGATCATTATTGCTGCACTAAAACATTTATGAACGATGGAGAAACAGTTTATAAATACCCAAATTAACTAGAAATGTTCAAACCTGTTGATGGACTATATATGCTGTATATTCTGGTTGTTGCAGGTTTTACAATAAACCTTAAAAACTCTTTCTATTCACTTCCAGCCTGTCGCTAACCAATCCGTCCTGGAAGCGCGATCAGTTTCGCTCGCGCACCATCAGCTCATTTGCGAATCCAGATGTACATCCAGGCCCCTCAATTTGATTTAGTTAAAAAGACCTAAATGATGTTTTTCCCTCCCCAAAAATTGTAAACGTTCTAGTGTTAAAAGTTAATAATGTATTTCCTGAAAAAATAAATGCCTTTAAATCCTTCCTGTTTTATCCCTGTGTTCCTGATTTTAGTACCATAATTACATTATTTATGGAAACCTGGATGTATATCTTTCCGCGCAGGACGGATCGTGCCTGGCGGTATGCTGGAGGTCTGGAGCTCCCAACAAGAACTGCAGATTATAATGGGATTATAATCCTGATGAGCTGATGAACAGAGGATGTTTGGAGGTGGACTTTCTCACTTAAAAACGTGTTAAAACTATTCTTCCAGCTCATAAAGTAAATAAAGCCGAACTGCTCTCTGGTTTAAAGCTATAGAACAGAGCAGATAAACAACCAGAACAGCAAAGCAGATGGACCACAGATTGATCCAGAGTCCAGATTTCTGCCTTTAAGCGTTTTGACATCCCCAACACCTTCGGTATGAACGCAGCTTTAGTAAATCTGATGCCACTGGAGGTCCTGTTTATTTCCCTTGAAATGGAGCCACATTGGTCAGGAACATCTTTGTTGGGTATGTGGGTTCTGGCCATGAACACCAAACCCTCTCTGCCAATGTCAAACGCCCATATCAACGACTCCAGGGTGGAGCTAAACTCTGCTGTTTAATCCTGTAAACAAAGTGCTTCCCTGATAAACGCGGCTCCGTCTGAAGGGAATCTACAAGAGCTCTAAAGTTAAGAAAAAACTGACCAGAAACGAAGGTCTTTACCGTAGTAGCCATTCAAAATGGCCTTCCCCAGTCAAAAGCCACCCAAAAGGCAGTAGATTCATTCCAACTTCTCCTGGACGTGCATATTTTCTTACTCTGACTCCACCCTTTCACTCAATTACAGGGTCTGACCAGGAGATGGCGCTTCTCTTTAGATCTTAATGTCCACAAATCATGACAGAAACAATATTTTAGACGCTTAATAAGGAATTGTAGGGGACCAGCCAAGGACTAGTCAAGGAAAGTAGGGACATTTTGAATGGCTACTACTGACCAACTGGAAACACTGGTCTAGTTCATGTTGGTTTCATCTCTTCCAGAGAACAGTCTGGTTCTCAGTCAGGTAGAAAATCTTGTGAAAACCTATTCTAGATTCAGATATTTGTGCAAAGACAAAGTCATTTTGTTTCAATCTTGGGTAGAAAAGGAAAATCCCCAAATAATTGTTGCTTGGTACTAAAATCTAGCATAAAATTGGTAAAATGCATTTATATTATTCAAAGAAATAGAAACCTGACCCAAAGAGAAATCAAGAATTGAGGAACTCTGAATCAGAACCATCTCCCTCTGTGCTCTTATTCCAGCTCACCCAGGTTTTTCCAGGACACTACTGACAGCTCCAACTATGAGGATCAACATCCAGCTGCTCGTCAAACTGAATGCAGGAAAATCCTGAGCTGATTGTCTCATTGGGGTCAGAACCGGCTGACGCCTCCATGTTCCCGATCACGTTTGGCTTCAAAAAGGCGGATAAAGTTGTTTTAAGCATCGAGCCAAACTCATCGGCCAGCTGCTCAATGACGGCTGGCGATTTGTAGAAAAGTCTGTAAAATATTAGATTAAATTCCTTTTACCCTTAATATAGAAACTGTTGAGTTTAAGCAATCAGAATATCTAATAAAATATTGTCCAGTTTGATCCATGAAGTCTAGCCTGGATTTTTAATCCAGTGGCAGAGCAGTAAAAGCACCAGGTAAACTGAAATGTACCGTTTATTTCTGACGAATCACCGAACCGTCATTGAGCCCACGATGGAGTTCGGGACATTTCTTTGTGCATTCATATCAGTTTTTGGTGTCAGAGCAGGAAAGAAAAAAAAGAAACAAACTCCTCTCTTTATCAAAGGCGCAGTAAAGTGACGGCAAAAATGTAAACTCAAAAGTGCAAAAAACGCCCAAAAGAAAGAAAACAAGATGGAGATTTAGGTTTTTGAGGTGACGTAACTTTCTCCTCAACTAGACGGTACTTCGGTGACTTCATTACAGCGAGCGTCACTTCAAAGGCTTAGTTCTTAACTTACTCTAAAAAAATATAAAAAATAGTAATAATTGTACCGATATTAAAAGACTTGTAACATCAACAATATTATACTTTTACTACGAAAAAAGGTCTTTTTGTTTAAATAGCGTTGCTCTTCTTCCTCAGTTCTCAGCCAGAAAACCGTTAACTTGTCAGGAAACGAAGACAGGAAACCTGTCATTCCTCCGACTAACAGCGTAGAACTGCCGGAGGGTAGAGCCGCCCCTCACCAGGCCAATACACCATCGCTCTGACTGGACCACAACTCTGGTCTCAGTCCAACACAGCAGAACCACAGCTTGGAGTTGTTTCCTTTAAGAAAACCCTCAAAATGTTTGATTTGAACGAGAATCTCCAGCGGGGACTGTGGACCAAGATTAAAGGTAGTGAATATTCCTTTGCGCCTCCTTCTTCAGCTCCTACGTTCCTCTAGCTTTGCGGGGAGAACGTTCCTCAGCTACGGTACATTCAGTGAACAACAGAACTTGTCGAAACTTCCTGCTAAGGTTCCGTTTCCATCTCTCCGTCGGGTTCGGCCAGCGATTTTTCTCTGACTTCGCTGTGTGCCATTTCGTCGGCCGTTTCTGCGTTGGCGGCGAGCGGATGGAGGTGTTCGGACACGGCTCGCGTCACGCTGTCGTAGGACGGCGGCGATGAGGTGGAGGAAACGGTCTCGGAGCGCTCCGTCGCTAACATGCTGGAGCCGTAGTTTTCTTTCATCATGGTGGCGATCAACCCTTCTTTCTCAGGTGCTTCCTCCATTAACGCGGCCTCGCCTCCTTCCTCGCCTTCGCTGGGGTCGTGTCGGGGTGTGGTGATCTGACGGTACAGGTAAGAGGCAGCCTTCATCTGGCGCCTCACCAGGTGGCGGCGATAACACCTCTGGATGATGGTGGCGGACACTTCCTCCTGCTTGCGCCTCAGAGTTGTTGTGATTGGCTCGTAGGAAATCTTGGACGGGTTGGAAATCATGAACTTCTCTTCCATCTGCTGCTTGAGGGCGTCCATCTCTCCCGACTCGCCAAGGACCCGCTTGGTGAAGGCAAAGAGGATGTCAAGGCAGTGGATCTTGTCACCACTGACCATGGGCAGGTCCATGGAGATCAGCTTGATCTTGTTTGGCTTGGAGATACGAAGAGGCTCCAGAAGAGAGTCCGCAAAGTCCGACAGCTTGGAGTACTCTATGAACTGCGTGGCTTCCGGGTCGAACTTCTCCCAAACCTCGTAGAACATCTCGAAGTCGTCCTCGCTCAGCGGCTCGGTGCTTTCCTCCGTGGCCACGCTGAAGTTCTCCAGAATGATGGCGATGTACATGTTGACCACAATGAGGAAGGAGATGATGATGTAGGTGACGAAGAAGGTGATGCCCACCGACGGGTTGCCACAGTTCCCCTTGACGGTGGTGCCGGTGTGGGGGAGGTGGGGGTCACACTCCTCGGGGGAGTTGTTGAGGATGGGGCTGAGCAGGCTGTCCCAACCTGCGGAGGTGGTGATCTGGAACAAACAGAGCATGCTGTTCCCGAACGTCTCAAAGTTAAACATGTCGTCAATCCCGCCCTGCCGCTTTACGTAGGCAAAGTTAGCCATGCCGAAGATGGCGTAGATGAACATGACGAGGAAGAGGAGCAGCCCAATGTTGAAGAGGGCAGGAAGTGACATCATCAGGGCAAACAGCAACGTCCGAATGCCCTTCGCTCCTCTGATGAGGCGCAGGATTCGTCCAATGCGGGCCAGCCGGATAACTCGGAACAAGGTGGGCGACACAAAGTACTTTTCGATGATGTCAGCCAAGACGATCCCTGGAAAACATAAAAGGACAACATGAAGGTCACATTTAGCCGATCGCAAGGAACGGTCTGGTTCAGAGGGTCTTTGGTCAAACAGGCGGCAGCCATAGGGATGGAGAGGATGGGAATCAGTGGGAGCTGGTGGATCTGGCATCAACACTGGAACCATAATGTCATCAGGCAATGCATGACAGGTCATTGTTGCTTTCTGTTGCTCTGGAGGTTCCTGCGACAGTTCGGCAACAAGGTTTGTTTTTTCCTGCTCGTACAGATGAGGCACAATCTTTCTCTAAAGTGATGGAATTACTTAACGTGGCTGAAGCACATTTAGCCTTTGTTTAAAGCCCTTGTTGTGCGTCTCACGTCTGCAGATATAAAAATTGGAGACTGGTCTGGTCTGATTCTGTGGTTGTTGAGCAGCACTTGTCTTGGATACTGTTGCGGGCGCTAAATATGGCGATGACAAATCTTTTTCTATCGGATAATGAACGTGTTTCTATCAGATAACGAATCAGTTTTTATCAGATAACGAATCTTTTTCTATCTGATAACGAATCTGCTTTCATCGGATAACAAATCCGTTTTTTATCAGATAACGAAGCTGTTTTTATCAGAAAACAAAGCTGCTTTTATCAGATAACGAATCTGTTTTTATCGGATAACGAATCTGTTTTTATCTGATTATGAATCTGTTTTTATGGGATAACAAATCTGTTTCTATCGGATAACGAATCTGTTTTTATAAGATAACGAATCTGTTTTTATAAGATAACAAAGCCGTTTTTATCGGATAGCAGACCTGTTTTTTCGGATAAAAAATCTGTTTTTATCGGATAACAAATCTATTTCTATCGGATGACAAAGCCGTTTTTATCAGATAAAAAATTATTTTCTATCAGATAACGAACCTATTTTTATCAGAAAACGAAGCCGCTTTTATCGAATAACGAATCTGTTTCTATTGGATAACGAATCTGTTTCTATCGGATAAGGAATCTGTTTTTATCGGGTAACAAATCCGTTTTTATCGGATAACGAAGCCGTTTTAATCGAATAGCGAACCTGGTTTCTTTATCAGATTATGTATCTGTTTCTATTGGATAAGGAATCTGTTTTTATCAGATAACTAATCTGTTATCAGAAAATAAATCTGTTTCTATCAGATGAGGAATCTGTAAGCTGTGGCATCTGAAAGCTCTCTATCCGGACCTTTGGGTCCTGACCTGTCGGTGGGTTTTATGGCTGCGTGAGTTAGTGCTTCTGGAGGATTGAGTCGCCTCTCCTCTGTAACAAGCAAGTCAAACGCTGTAATTCATCCATCTTCTCCTTGTTATCCTGGAGTGATAAACGTGTGGAGGAGATGAGACACACACACACACACACACACACACACACACACACACACACACACACACACACACACACACACACACACACACACCGCTTCCATTCATTTCCCTGTGTTGAGTTATGGGTGAGGAGAGAATGAGGAGGGGGGGACATGAGAGGGAATCACCAGCATATCGGTTCAACCCCCCCATCCTGACACTGAGAGGCTGATGTCATTGGTGTTCGATTCATCTGCAGCGTTTGCCCCTGGGGCAGCTCTGATTGCTGCCGTTACCTTCACCTCCCCCCATCACCCCCCCCGGGATCATCCAGCAGCTGAGGAGGCGGCAGAACCCACCGACGATGGACAGGATGACGACCACGAAGTCGAAGATGTTCCAGCCGACGGTGAAGAAGTAGCAGCGCAGCGCCATGATCTTGATGCTGCACTCGGTGGTGAAGATGACGATGAAGGCCAGGTTGACATGGTAGAGGATCTTCTCCATCTGAGGCGACTGCTCATCGGTCTCCACCATCATGGTGATCATGTTGAGGAGGATCAGCACCATGATGATGATGTCGAAGGCCTGTTTTCCCACCAGGTCGAAGAAGAAGCCCTGCAGGTCGTTCTGGTGTAAAGAAACAGACGTTCAGAGTTATTGGTTTGGATCCCATCCGGCTGCTCCTCTTTATAAAATCACTGCAATCTCATTTCCACCATATCAAAGCTAAACAACCTAATTACGAATGTTTGGGTTTATACTGGTGAAAAAATAATCAGAAATACACACAATTATTTCCCATTGCTGGTAACTTTAAACCAATTGGGATCCGAATCCCAGGAGCGCTGCCAGGAATTTGGGCCCCATGATAGACGGTGCTTTAAAACTGCTATGAAGATGGACCGAAGAGCACATAAAAA